CACGTTGCAGCAGCACGTTGCAGCAGCACGTTGCTTCTCCTGAGCAGAGCTGTGTGTTGCCTCAACAATGAAAATCATGTAAATTAAGATGAGAAATTAATTGATTGACTTCTGTAAACGCATCATATTATATTCCGAGGTGTTTTTAAGGTATGAGTGTGTAGACTTATAATAAACAATGCATGATAATAATGCTGGTTAATAAACTTCCCAACTAGACACATAACGATGAACTGTTGAGTGCAACTTTTATTTCTGTGCTGAGGTATTTAATCTTCATGCGACTACTCTTTAAAAACGATGAAAGAAGCCTGTGTAAACAAACATAACCAGTTAATATAAAAACCAGTTAATCTGACACACCGGAAGTCGTTTCGTGTTGGCGCGTGCACTCTGCTGGAGGTTTCAGACGCGGTTGGTCGCTGCTGGGCGAAAAGCTGTTTTTGGACTTTCTAATGTGTATTTTTACTTTCTTTTTTCCGTCTCCGCTCTAACTTCGCAGGTTTCGCTCTGAAACTATAGTTTCATTAAAACGGATCTTCATCCGGGTCGGAGCAGACGCAAACGCTTACCTTTGTCTCAGGTTCGCAGGTAAGAGGAAGTCATTCAGAAAACCGCATAAATTTTGACATTTTAAAAACACTTGATATCTTTAATGCACGTTGTTTCTGTCACATGTCGTCTAATAATCATTTGTATTCTTTTGCTTTGTGTGTTTAGTCTCTGCTGTATGATAGTTTTGTTAGCCTCCACTTAAAGTAATGTAGTCAAGCTAGCCCCCACGTGCTGCAGCAGAGAAGTGATTTCAAAATAAAAGCGGCGAGCTGGCCAACGTGATTTCAAGATGAGCAACGAAAAAGATGAGATACAGACTCATGCATAAATACAACAACGGAATATAAATGTATGCAAAGGTAATAATTAGAAAGTAGCATTGATGCACATAATAAATTGGAGAATAAGACTATGTATTAACATTAAAAACAGTCAAGTAGGGGTTTCTGAGTTCAGCGTGGACGTGGCTGGAGAGTAAAAACTGTTCAGGAGTTGTCCTGTGTGAGTTAGGTCGTTTGGAGGTGTGGCCCCTGATTGACCTGAGGTGCGTCTGGAGGGCAGGGGGTCAAACAGGTGGTGAGTGGGATGTGAGGGGTCACCTGTAACAGCCCTAGTTTTTCTGAGACAGGAGGAGCTGATGATGACCTCGAGTGGTAGCAGCGGGCAGCCATTGATTTTGGTCAGTGTTAATGAGCCTCTGCGCAGCCTCCTTGTTCTCTTTTGGCCCCTGTGTACCAACACCAGGCAGGAGGAGAGCACGCTCTCCACTGAGGAGTGGTGGAAGGCCAGCAGCTCCTGGTCCAAGTTTTTCTTCCTCAGGACACGGAGGAAGTGCAACTGCTGTGAGGTTGGTGGCGACGTAGGTGCCCGAGAAACCTGAAGGTGGAGATAGTTTCCACCTGTTTTCCATTTATAATGAGAGGGAGTGGACTCGTCTGTGCCTCCTGAAGTCCATGATGAGTTCTTTGGTTGGATGTTCAGTTTCAGGTGGTTTTCTGAGCAGCAGCAGGACAAATTCTCTACCTCTGCCCTGCACACTGTCTGATGTCTGTTAGAGATGAGACCAGCCACGGTGGTATCATCGGTATACTTAATGATGACGGTGGTCGGGTGGGTTGGAGACTGGGGCCGGTTGGTGAGGAGGTCTTTGGCCCAGGGGAAGGTGGCAGAGGGGATGTTCTGGTGGTCCAGTTCGTTGATTTTTGGGATTTTTGTGTTAAACGCTAAACTGTAGTCGACGAGGAGCATCCTCACAGAGCTCTTCCTGTTCTCCAGATGGCTCAGTGCTCTGTGGAGGCTGATGGTGATGGAATCAGAATACTTTATTGATCCCTGGGGGAAATTATTTTTTGTTACAGTGCTCCATTATAAACCAACATTAAGACAAGACAGACAATACACTAACTAAGAATAGTACAATATATACATACAGACATGCATACATAAGTCACTCATAAATAAATAGCTGGAAAAGAAACGTGTAGTTGTAGCAGCAAACAGTGTGTTAAGTGGATGCGTTGTACAGGGAGCCACAGGCAGGCAGGAAAGACTTCCTGTGTCGTTCAGTGGTGCTTTTCGGTAATCTCAGTCTCTCACTGAACGTGCTCCTGTGACTGACCAGCATGTCATGGAGTGGGTGGGAGGTGTTATCCAGCATAGTCTTTATCTTGGACAGCATCCGCCTCTCCGACACCACCTTGAGGGAGTCCAGCTCCATCCCCACAACATTACTGGCCTTACGGATCAGTTTATCGAGTCTGTTGGCATCTGCGACCCTCAGCCTGCTCCCCCAGCATGCAACAGCATAGAGGATCGCACTGGCCACAACAGACTCATAGAAAATCCTCAGCATTTTCTGGCAGATGTTGAAGGACCTCAGTCGCCTCAAAAAATAGAGACGACTCTGGCCCTTCCTGCAAAGTGCTGTGGTGTGTTTAGCCCAGTCCAGTTTATTGTCAATGTGAACTCCAAGGTATTTATAGTCCTCCACAATGTCAACACTGACCCCCTGGATTGAAACAGGGGTCAAGTGTTTCCTGGTCTTCCTGAAGTCCACGATCAGTTCCTTGGTCTTTGCCACGTTGAGCTGCAGATGATTCTGCTCACACCACGTGACAAAGGAGTCGACCACAGCCCGGTACTCTGTCTCATCATCCCTGCTGATGCATCCAACCACCGCAGAGTCATCAGAAAACTTCTGAAGATGGAGGTCTCTGTGCAGTGGCTGAAGTCTGTGGTGTAGAGGGTGAAGAGGAAGGGGGAGAGGACAGTCCCCTGTGGTGCCCCTGTGTTGCTGATCACCTTGTCAGACACACACTGTGGGAGACGTACATATTGTGGTCTTCCTGTCAGGTAATCAACAATCCAGGACACCAGAGAAGCATCCACCTGCATCGCTGCTAACTTATCACCCAGGAGGGTCGGCCTGATGGTGTTGAAAGCACTGGAAAAGTCAAAAAACATGACCCTCACAGTGCTCGCCGGCTGGTCCAGATGGGTGTAGACACGATTGAGCAGGTACATGGTGGCGTCCTCAGTTCCGAGACGAGGCTGATAAGCGAACTGAAGGGGATCCAGATGTGGTCTTACTATGGGTCGCAGCTACAGTAGCCTACAGTATCCTCTGTAGGCTGATTTGCTTTGTAAGCAGACTGGTGGGTATCGAGACAGGAGTGGAGGCTGAAAGCCTTTATTGTCATTATACGCAGTATAACAAGATTAAAAAGCAGCTCCATAAAAGTGCACGTATGCTAGCACATTATAAGAAAGCCTATAATAAAATAACCATAAGAATAATACAGCACAAGAGTGACAGAGTTTGAGCACCGACAGTTTAAAACAGACATGAGTTCAGAGATATTTCAGTGCAGATTACTTTGGTGCAAGGTTGAGTTTGGTGATAGCTTTGGGGAAGAAGCTGTTCCTGAGTCTGTTCTGGCCCACATGGATCTGAAGCGCCTGCCAGAGGGCAGTAGGTTAAAAAGATGGTAGCCGGGGTGGGTAAGGAGGGCAGGGTGTTTCTGGCCCTGCTGAGACAACGGGAGTTATAGACGGCAGACGAGGAGGGCTGGGGGCAGTCGATGATTCTTTGTGCTGTGTTCACCACCCTCTGCAGTCTCTTCCTGTCTGCCTCCGTGCAGCTGGCGTGCTGCACTGTCACTGCATAGGTCAGCAGGCCCTCGATGGTGGATCTGTAGAAGGTCACCAGCAGTGTTTAGTTGCTCCTTCCTGAGGAAGTGTAGCTGCTGCTGGGTCTTCTTGCCTCCACTTGCTCTACACATTCACCGTTTATGTGCAGGGCGGCACAGCCTGAAGTCCAGGATGAGTTCCTTGGTCTTGGTGATGTTAAGTGCCAGGGGTCTGTAGGTAGTCTGTGATGTGCTGAGACACTGAAGTAAAGATGCCACTGAAGGCTGTGAGGTGGGAGTTGGTATATTCTCATTAACTATAGCTGCCTTTCCCAGCAGCAGGTTGGTTTTTCTAGTCCATGCTAGTTCCACTTCTTTGCCACTGGTGTGTACATCCTTCTTTCTCCTGAAGCAGATGATCACTTCCTTTGTTGTCTTCATATTGAGTGGAAGGTTATTGTCTTTAAATCACACTGCAGCTGTGTTGCACTTCCTCCCTGTAGGCAGATCAGCCTCACCACCGATGTGTCATCAGCAAATCTGACCGTGACACTGGTGTTATGTGATGGGGTGCAGTCATGCGTGTACAGGAAAGGGCTTAACAACAACCTTGTGGGGCTCCAGTGTTAGAGCGGGGGCGTGATTGGTGCTCATCCAGACTGTTAGTCAGGAAGTGCTTCATCCAGAGGCAGATGTTGGTCTGTTTGCCCAAGTTGGACATTTTGAAGAAGCCTGCTGTACAGGGTGGTGTTAGCAGCACACGCAGCAGCCATGCACATGTCCCTGGCTGTTCGATTGCACTGCAGTTTCCATTTTAAGCTATAAATGCTGACAGATTTTGCCTCAAAGTTATTGCGGTGCTGCAGTCACAGGGTGATCTACCAACAATAATAATAATTTACTGACAAAGATGCAGCAGGTTCACTTGATAACCAGCTTTCTGCCAAGAGGAAGAATGATCAGCTCGAAAATCAGCAGACCTGAGGGAGTGATGTCAGCCTTTCCAGAATAATCCGGTGCAAGCTCAGGTTCCTGCTTCCCTGTGAAACAGCAGGGCAGTGTGTACAGATGAGAGGACGGTGAAGGAAGATGTTTCTTATAGATACAGATACAAATCTGTGTGCACTGTGCAAAGGGCTCCGAGGATTAAGACACAGATGCCGTATTTATCCAGAGAGAGCAGCACAGATCTCCTTTTAAAAGTAATTTCTGATAAATCCTAACACTGTTGTTTTCTGTATGTATCATGTTGCTTTCTTCATCCACCCTGACACTGCAGTGTCACGTTTGTCTGCATGTGTTTGATGTTCACATTCAGTGTAGGTGGCAGCATTTGTGTCTGTGCTGTATGTGGAATGGAGACTTTGAAAAAGCACTTCATCATAGGCACAACTATAACCATCTACTATAGGGCTGTTCGATATAACGATGTATATCGTGTGACGATATAAAAACGTCTGTCGTTTCATTTTACGCTATCGTTTGTTTCGTGGTGTTGCAAAATAAACTGTTTACGGCGATATTTGTTCATGTTCTGATGTCACTGTAGTGACTTTAATTTCTTAAAGTTCTCTCTTTGTCTTATATTTAATATAACCACATTACAGACGGACAAGCGCCTGTTTTTATACGTTGTCGTTAGCAACAACGACGGTAACACCATCGCGTGTCCGCTTGTTTATGTTCCACATAAACTTTTCACAATAAAGCTCAAGATCCTGTTGAGACTTTTCAAAATAAACTGAATCACGTGAAAGATGCAGATTATTTACGGATGAGAAGCAAAAAAAGACGCTAGGTGCTAAAAAACAAACCTTAGACTCAAACGTTAGAACAGGCTTCTCCCCGCAGCACGCCGTGTAAGAAATACTCACAAAGAAAACGGCGCCGTTACAACTTATGTCTAAA